TGGTCTCTTCCAACTCTATGATTCTATGATTCTATGATTCTATAATGTTTCGGTGGAATCTCTTTTCTTGTAGTTTGAATTCATTGTTCTATGCCCTTGTCTCTGGAGCAGCAGAAAACATGCAGAAAATATTGATCTGAAATCACTACCTTATCTTACATAATTCAAACAAAAATCCATCAGGGATCCTTTTATTGGCCAACCAAAATGCACAATATACTTTTTGCAAGCTTTTGAAGCTCCATGGGCTTCTTCATCAGGCAAGATGTTACAAATTAAACAGGAGAAAAACAATTGGAGATGTTACTCAAATGTCTACATGTTGTTTCAATCTTTAGTTAAGATGGTATATGGTGGGAAGGATATCTTTTGTAGGCAGGATTCTCCTCCTTCTGGCCCTGTGGCTATAGGGAGATTTGGACAGTCCAGGGAATTTAAAATCAATTTGGATATGAACAGGGACCCCTCTTTTGCAATCCAATATGTCTCCGTTCCAGTGAGGCCATAGGCCTCTTTGTGGCAGAGAGCAATGGATTCCTCAAGAAGTCTCCATGTGTTTGAATATTTTAGTAGATGTAGAGGTAAAACATGCAAACTCAGTCCAAATTTAAGAAGAAAAAAATTGTTTTACCTTGATTGAAGTTCTCAGTCCACAGGCTGTTCTTCCTGGTCCCCCTGTTGCAGCTATAATGCAGTATCTCACAATTGAAGAAGAGGGGTCCCTGTTGAAATGCAAATGGATTTTAAATTTCCTGGACTGTGCAAATCTCCCTAAAGCCACAGGGCCAAAAGGAAGAGGATCCTGCCTATAAAAGATATCCTCCCTACCATATACCTTCTTAGCTAAATATATATTAACAACTAGTTGGCCTCTTTCCAAATTTCAGATTTTGTTCCATGTCACACCACAGTTAAAAGACATAAAGCTGTCACTGAGCGTAGGTGGTAGGTGAGAAAACAAACATAGCAACAAGGCATGTCAATGGCTTTACATTTCTTCAAAGGATTGCAAATAAAAATTCAAGTAGTGCATTATGCTTTGAAATTGTGTCTTGTTGTTTGACTTATAATTAATATTGTGGAGATCGGTGAATGAACAGTAAGAAGAATAAATCTTCTTATTGGATGCTGACAAGCTGGAGGATGGAGGGTGACTAAAATGGTGAAAGGTCTTGAAACCATGCCCTATCTATTAATGTTTTAATTGTGTTTGGTTTAATACTTTTTTAAGGGGGGTGGGTATTGGATCTTTTTGGATTTATATTGTATATATTTTTAATTGTTGTTAGCCACCCCGATTGTGCACAGAGGGGTGGGGTACAAATAAATTTTATTATTATTATTATTATTATTATTATTTATCTGTCCCTAGCTTTTCACTCCACCAAATACATCTGGGGAAGTAGACATTAGTCTAGGAAAGCCCATGCTGCCAACTCCTTTCTTTCAGTCAGTCTCAAAGGTGCTACAAGATCTCTCTACATACTGATTCTAACATGGCTATATCTTTGAATGCACCCATTAAAGGAACTGGTGCCTCTCCAGGTTTCAATATGGCAACCCTATGATCATGGCAAGCCCTCTCCGAGGAAACTTGCCAAGAAAACTCCATGATAGGTTCAACTGTTGGATCACTATAAGTTGGCATACGACTTGAAGGCACACAACTAGATCAAGGGAAGTAATAGTGCCACCCTAATCTGCTTGGGTCAGGCCTCTCTTGGAATACTGTGTCCAGTTCTGGGCACCACAATTCAAAAAGGATGTTGAGATGCTGGAGTGTGTCCAAAAAGGAAGGCGACTAAAATGGTGAAGGGTTTGGAAACCATGCCTTATGAGGAGAGACTTAGGGAGCTGGGTATGTTTAGCCTGGAGAAAAGATGGTTAAGAGGTAATATGAGAGCCCTGTTTAAGTATTTGAGGGTGTGTCATATTGAGGATGGAGCAAGCTTGCTTTCTGCTGCTCCAGAGAATAGGATATGGAACAATGGATGCAAGCTACAGGAAAATATATTCCACCTCAACATTAGGAAGAACTTCCTGAAGTAAAGGCTGTTCAACAGTGGAACACACTCCGAGTGTGGTGGAGTCTCCTTTCTTGGAGGTTTTTAAACAGAGGCTGTATGAGCATCTGTCAGGAGTGCTTTGATTGAGAGTTCCTGCATGGCAGAATGGGGTTGGGCTGGATGCCCCTGGGGTCTCCCAGCTCTGTGGAGTTAATCACATGGGGGAAATTGGAAGTATAAACAATGATTAACCATGGGAACTGTAGTTTATTGTGGCACCAGAGCTCTCTGACAGAGAAGGCTCAATGTCTCAGGGGGGGGGGGGAAACAATTCCCATGATTCCTTAGCACTAACCCTAACCCTAAAAGTGGACTCAATTTGCACTATTTCTGGCAGTCTGCAACCCCTTATAGTCTCAAAGGTGCTACAAGATCTCTCTACAGACTGATTCTACAGACTAACAGAGCTATATCTTTGAATTCTTCCACTTGTGTTAATATATATATATATATATATATATATAATATTATTTTGTGTTATTATAAACATTATATATATATTAAATATATTAAATATAATATTAATATATAATTAATTATCATTATGAAATATGTATTAAATATATTATTTTGTGTCAATATATTATTTTGCATTAATATATATATATATATATATTCTATAGAGAAAGAGAGAGGTATATACACATATATATGTATATATATATAAAATTAATATATCAATTCTACAGACTTACACAGATATATCTTTGAATTCTACCACTTGCATTTATATATATATATATATATATATATATATATAATTTTGTGTTAATATAAATATTAAATATATATATATTAATAGATATATTACATATATTATTTTGCATTAATATATATAGATCTCTCTCTATATATATTCTATATATAGAATTATATATTTTTATATATAAAATTATATATACTATATGTATATATAAAATTATATATTCTATATGTATATATAGAATTAATATATATGTATGTATAGAATTAATATATTAATTCGACAGACTAACACGGCTATATCTTTAAATTCTACCACTACCACTTAAAGTCGTTTTAAGCACGTTTTAATGTCAGTTGCTTGATTTCCACCGGTTAATCTTTGTTTAAACTCCCAATTTCCCTCCGTGTGATAAACTCCTAGGATTCTCAGAACAACAACTGGGGACCCAAGACTCTACTACAGTGGACGCCTTTAAGTCCCTGTACGGAAGAGCAATGGCATTTCCGGTCCCCTATAGGGCCCTGACCGGAAATGCGTCTCTCTGATAATACGGTCCCCTTAGTCCGGGCGTGTGTGCGGCCTCCCGGTCCCCCATAGAGGCAAGCGCCGGAAGTGGTGCATTCACTAAACTGTCCGTCTGGGAGGAGAAGGAGGAGGACTCAACCGACGTGGCTGAGTTTGGAAGGCGGAGCGGAGGGAAGGAGTCCCAAGTGAGTGGCGGCGACGCAGCTGGATGGCAGGGGCATCCCGGAGCTCCCGGCTCTCGCTCGGTAAGGAAAAGGAGGAGTGGGGGGCTCCTCTCCCTCCTCCAGGGATTTGGGGGACCCTCAGCTGTTCCTGGCCCTGACCAGGAAGAAGGAAGGAGAGGGATGCTTTGCTTTGTTGTTGTTGGGTGCCTCCTTCAAGTCGTTTCTGACTTAGGGAGACCCTATCATGGGGTTTTCTTGGCAAGATTGGTTCAGAGGGTTGGTTTGGGTTTTTTTGGGGTCATCCTCTGAGGCTGAGAGAGTGTGACTTGCCCAAGGTCACGCAGTGGAGGCAGGATTCGAACCCCGGTCTCCAGAGCAGGGGGAGCAGATGTGTCCTGACCGCCAAGGAGGACCAGGCAGCGCGGGATGGAGGACACTGGAGACAAATGTGGGACATGGCCGAAGTAAAAACACTCCCATAAATAGGAATCTGTGTTTCTCCTTAGTGATGCTCAGAATGGAGGACGTTTTGGCATTCCTCCCGGACAGGAGGATTAAGTGGAGGACATCAAGGAGGAGGGCTAAGTCTGGTCACCCTGGACATTAGAAAATAATAGCTTTATAAAAAAAGCCACTGATACAAATATAAATTCATGCCTCTTAGTCCTGCTCAGAATGGAGGGCACTTTGGAAGTTTCCTCCTGGACAGGAGGCTGAAATGGAGGACATGTCCTGGAAAAGGAGGACCAAGGCTGGTCATCCTGGAGACTACAAGATAACAGCTAGGAAAAGCCACTGAGACAAATATGAATCCATGCTTCTTAGTCCTGCTCAAAATGGAAGAAATTTCCTCCTGGACAGGAGGCTGAAATGGAGGACATGTCCTGGAAAAGGAGGACCAACCAGGTTTGGTCGCCCTGTGTGTCCTCCAGAGTGGTAGTCCAGCGCTCTAACCACTAGGCAACTCTGGGATGGAGGCAGCACAAAAAGCCACCGCTCTCTGGTGTTGAACTTTCAGGTGCAGCGGTTTTGATTTCAGCTCTATGTGGAGCATATGGAACTCTCTGCCACAATCCCAAAATAGAAGATGATCAGACTACAATTAGTGAGAGGAATATTGGAGTAAAATGCTTCTGTTGCAAATGGTTGGGGTTGAAGGAGACGGAGATCTGACTTGGTGCAAGGCATCAACAACTTACTAAATTCACTTTATTATTTCCCAAAATGAGATTTTGATGCCTGGTGACAAATCAGCTCTTCATCTCCTTTGACTTTAACCATTTGCAACTGCTGTGGTTGTGTGCCTTCAAGTTGTTCCCGGCTTATGGCGACCCTACAGTAAACCTATCGTGGGGTTTTCTTCGCAAGAGTTCTTCAGAGGGGGTTTGCCATTGCCATCCTCTGAGGCTGAGAGAGTGTGACTTGACCAAGGCCACCCGGTGGGTTTCATGGCCAAGCGAGGATTTGAACCCTTGTCCCTAGAGTCACAGACTAACGCTCAAACCACTATGCCATGCTGGCTCTCATTTGCAATACTGGACTTGCTTTTATCTCTGTTATTCTTTATCTTTTTATATATCTGGATTGCTCCTTGTGGCAGAGGGTTCCCTCTGCTCTGTGTACAGCTTGCTAACTTAAGGGGCTTTATTTTATCTGCTTTCTGCTGGGAATAGGCAAGGTTGACTTAAGGGGTGTTCCCCTCCACAGGAGACAGGAACAAAGTTGGCCTTTAATGCCAGAATAGTTGGTTTGCTGAAACCATAAGCACTTAATCTTGATTTATATCCTTGTCGAATAGAGTATTGGCAATCATAGTTAATATAGAGGCTAGTGAGGAAAGAATACTTAAGACTTGCTAGTCTGCATTGTCAACATTCAGTGGATGCTGTTTTAGGGGGCTAGGGTTGGTTTCGATAAAATGTTGTGGGGGATTTTTATTGTAAACCACTTGGATTGTTGCCAATAAGCGGGATATAAATTATTATTATTATT